GCTGGATTTTAACGTCTTCGCACGACGACATGGGGGCAGTTTTACTGAGCCAAACAAAACGCTGCGTGACTCTTCGGCTCTTTGCTTGTTGGAACCACTAGCACTCTCTGATGATGTTCACAGGGGTGGAGCAGTCCTCATACAAAAGCAAATGAAAGGTCGATCCTTTAAGAATGTGGCTGACTTTGTCAGCTTCGGGCATTTGGCAGTCAGCTTGCCGGCAGAAGGCTAAGACATCGTCTTTGCACACCTTGTATGGTTCTGCCAAGGTTCGGGCACGGCACGAGAGTTTTTCTTTACTGGGTGGCTTGTTGCGTGCGATTCGCTTTTTGAAAAGAGCTTTCTTTTTTGTTTACATACGCCCTAACTTGTCAGCTGTTCCTCGTGCGTGTCTAACCACACTGGCCGTACCCCTAAGGTAGTAAATGAAATTCGCAAAAATCAAAGTAGGATCCTACTGTTTAGGTCTTGCTACCTGCGATACAGTAGTGGTGCAGGCTCTTCTCACAATATGTTTAGTCTTGCTGACGCGCTTGTAGACGGCCAGCCATTTTTCCACGTGCGGTCCCGCAGAAGTGACCGAGGTCTCGCCTGTGAGTCACAACAACGTGGCGAAGGGCATCCGTCATACCGGAGGCTGTGTCGATAGAGCTGTTTGTAGACATGATGGTCTTCCAAGAAAGCCCGCTGCAAAGTTTCATGATGTGCTTCGGAAGTATTCCACGTTCTCCACAAAAGATGTCACGAGGAGTCGACAGAAAAAGGTTATAATTGCAATATCTACACTGTCACAGTAATCGCGGTAGGGACAACCAAGATAGCGAGACAAGGATATTGATGAAGATGAGTCCACAACCATGGCTTATACTCACTCAGGGTGATCGGCGAGAATTGATTGCACAATTTACAGAGACTATTTCCATATTGAAAATCTATACCCCCCCCCCCCGCCTCCAAGAAAACTATAGAACGAAAAGCATGCAATAATTGTTTGTCACTCGTTCAGATCAGACAATGAATTCGTTACCTTGGACAGACATTAGCGTGGTTAAACAGAACTCCTGTTTTCGTTTAATTATTCATGCAGGAAGAATGCTCACGTAAGTAAAAGTTGAAATCTTTAAGCTTCATTAGGTGAAATACAAACTGCATCAAAAGTGTTCTTGTGGCTGAAGCCCAGGTCTGAAGCACCAAAGGAAAGTATGTTCGCAGTTGTGAAGTTCAGCCCTAGGCTAGAAAATTGGACGACTAAAAGTCTTGTTAGCTATCTGTACTGGTGACATGAGCAAAAATTGTGCTCTGTTATTTCTTATTTTGAACAAAAGTTCCGCAAAGTTGATAACGCCAGACCAGCCCTGTGTGAATAGAAATTTAACGGGAGACATGACATTGAGATTTGGTTAGATAGATAGATATGTGAGGTTTAACGTCCCAAAACCACCATATGATTATGAGAGACGCCATAGTGGAGGGCTCCGGAAATTTCGACCACCTGGGGTTCTTTAACGTGCACCCAAATCTGAGCACACGGAGCCTACAAAATTTCCGCCTCCATCGGAAATGCAGCCGCCACAGCCGGGATTCGAACCCGCGACCTGCGGGTCAGCAGCCAAGTACCTTAGCCACTAGACCACCGCGGCGGGGTTTAAGATTTGCTCATTATGACTTCCAACTGCCTTGTAGGACACCGCTGGATATTCCACGATAATCTTAAGTGTGTAAATTCTGTCGATGACATTATTGCTTCCATGTCATCTGCACGAAGCGAAAGTTTTGTGTATCTTGCCGCAGTTATTGTAGCCACTTCATCAAGGACAGATACTGGACCATTCAATGCCGCTCGTGCTAGAGAGTCAGCAATTTAAATTACTTTTATTCCGCAATGGCCAGGTACCCATTCTAATCTCAGTAGCTACAACTGAGGAGGGACTAGCATAAGTGGCGTCTTTAAGGCCATAGATTTTCATGACACCGTAATCGATGTACATACTCACAGGGCATCAGTAATTACGATTGCGGCGGCTGTGTGTCCGATAGAGGCGGAAATGTTGTAGGCCCGTGTGCACAGATTTGGGTGCACGTTCAAGAAACCCAGGTGGTCAAAATTTCCGGAGCTCTTCCACTACGGCGTCTCTCATAACCATATGGTGGTTTTGGCATGTTAAACCCTTCATATCAATATCGGTAATTATGATTGCGTTATGAACATTCAAAGGTAGATTCCGCAGCGCTAGAAATATTTCCAACTGTTCGGCTTCAAAAGCAGGGTTGAAGTCCAGTAGTCGTAAAAAAGATACCAGCCAAGTCAACAATATACTTACACCTTTTCATTCATTACTGAAACATCTGTGGCTATGATATTATACGTTTTTTCATTTGCAAGATAATCTCGCAGTTGGCTATTCCAGACCCTGTATGAGTGCAATCTGAGCTTAGAGGAAAAAATTTCATCAAATTTTATCTTAACATTCTGATTTGAAGTCTGCGCTGCAAGCACATCTCACTATTCACATTTATCCTGTCTAATTGTTTCTGGACAAAAGTAATGTGAGATGTTCGAACCCGTGCCCAATGGGCAAAAAAGGTGTTTGCATCATTTATAAAAGTATATTCAGATCGTCTTGACGCATAGCTACAAAACTGAGAGACTAGGAGCTACTTAGTCCTTCACTTCTACGTCGCCTGTGAAGCGGCACATAATACTGTGACCGTTGTCTTGACCTATAGCCATAGACATGTTGGGCTTCTAAGCACTAAGAAAGTGGTTAGGAGAGATAATTGTGTAGTTCAGTGAAAAAAAAAAGAAAGAAAGAAAGAAAGAAAGAAAGAAAGAAAGAAACTCACAGTGGCACTGCAAGAGTCAAGCATCAATGCGATGGCAACAAACTAGAGCTTGCTATGGTTGCGGCTTTGGTGAGTTGTTTCATGCTGTTGTTGTGGCGTCTTTGTCTTGTGTCTGAATTTCGCGCTGTTCCTTCCTCTTATGAACAAACTGGGAACTTCGTGCAAAGAAAGGCTAGCAGCTCATTACTTTGACACACATGGCCGCTGAAGCGAGCCATGTGAGAGTCATGCGGTCTATAGCGTCAACGCGAACTTCGCTATGGAAGCTCGACATGTATGAGCCTCAGTGTGCAGAGATAAGTGCGCCAGCACGACAACGCCCAAAGGACGGAACCAGAAGAACGCTGCCAGTCGAAAAACGGCAGGGGCACTGCTTTCTAAACAGCAGTATGGAGCCTACATGACCACCAGGCTCCCTAAAGTGCACTCTTTGACACCTTGCGTCTTCCTGCGGGTAATAATCAACAAGTCTCTGCCCCACTGAAGTACTTTAATGGACCTTGGTGATAACGTCAAATAGTGCATAGAATGTCAAAGGAGCTTACTATAATTGAGTGACAGAACTGCATGGGTGATCACTAGAAGCAGTGACTCCCATATGTAGGACAAATTCATTTGCATCAGGTATCCAGTTTCTTAGACGTTCGTAATTGGAATTAATCGAGACTGAAAAGTAGATGCGCAGGTAATTAAATCTAAGTGCACGTTTAAAAGTCAGTGCGGTGGAAATTTTCAGAACACTCCGCTGTCCCGTCCGCCTATTTATATTGTGGTTTCGGGCTGTAAAACCACAATTATTATACTTCAGATATGAGTGAGTATCGGTGATATTAGGGTTTTAGGGCACGTATTATAAGAAAGGCGCATAGATACTTGCGCTTTAGATTTGCAACAGTGTTGAAATGCTAAAGTAGGTATGACTCACACTGTTCACATGCCCTGTGAGAGTGCTAATGTCTTTGTTGAGCCAGGACTGTCACCTTCAAGAATAATATGATCGGAGAGAAGGCTTAAAGAGGCCCTGCGACACTATTTGAGCATGCATTTTTCATCGGTTCTTCAGGTGCTGTGGAACTCGCCGATATCGTTGTGCAAATGGCGACGCCAAAATTGACGCTGTCATAATTTTAATTCAAGGGACAAACTACCTTGATGTCAGACTATGGCAACACACATCGGCTATTTTCGTTATGAGAAGTGGCGTAATATTATGTGACGTGATGACAAACACCGTTCGCTTTTGATTGGCTGGATGCGTGGAATAGCGTGCAATATTCATATGGTGGTAGCTAGACCATATGAGTGAATGCTAAAAAGAGCAAAAATGTTTTTTTGTACTTTCTCAGAAAGAAATCATTCCTGTTTCTAAATGATGTATTTTGAGAACAACGAACACAACACAGCCTGCGAGTGAGGCTATGGTGCGCCAGCAAGCAACTAAAAGTGGAAAGGCATGCCACGTTTTTAGCCAGCCAAAAATTGCGACGGGTGATGGGCGCCGGCGTTGCCGTAGAACGAGTCTTGCATGCAAGCTGAGAAATGACCCTGCCCAAAGTGTATGTGTGTATCTTACACAGTGTGACCGTGGGAGCGTCTTCTACTCGACGCAGGTGGTTCACAGTAACCACACTAAAGACGCCGTGAAAAAGAGCAGTAGCGAGGTAGTGTGTGAAAGCTACCATGAGGTTACATTTCCAGAATGTCTTTATGAGACACGCACTGTGACTGTATGCGGCCTTTGGCGTCAGCAGGCGAGTGAAATGTGAAAGAGAACTTTTCTCTTTGTCGTCCTCTAGAGTTTTGAGCTTTGAGAACTTCTAACTTCTCTGTGCGTGCATCAATTTTCATCATTTTGGTTGCATTCGTCTCAGTAATCATCACTACATGTTTTCCGGTGCTTAATAGGGATGTTTCAAAAGTGTCGCAGGGCCCCTTTAATTACATCGTCAAATGTGATCGATGATTGCTAAATCGTAAAAGATTGGGTGTATTAGTTCAATGCTTTGTTTAAAATCGTATAAGAGGTACCTGCTGAGCACGTCACATTCTGTCGGCTAACCAGAGTCATCTGTACTTTACCAGGCTCCAGTATTGAATCAAGGAGGACCTGGCACTACATATAAATTAATTCGCACTATGTTCGGCGATGACATTACCCTCCAAGCATCTTGGTGGTCCGACAAATAAGGCTTCCTTTCAGGAAAGTTGGACACTCCGGTGTGAGCAAGGGTAACGATGACCAGGACCCCAATGGCAAGACTTGTAGGTTTCATTATCCGCATTCTTCTCTTGGATGAATGGCTAAGACGGGCAGCGCATCCTGCGAAAGAGGAGTATCGAGCGACGAAATTGTTTATTCTTAAGTGACATTATGTTTGCTATATTTCGTATTTATAAAATAAACGTATCTGCTATATGTTAATAAGTACGCGTTACAACACTAGGAAATGCTTACTGGGAACATCTCGACATGTTATATTTATAGGGTGGGCCGCAGAAGAGCGCTGCGTAGAGTAAACAAAAGAAAGTTTACCCGTGTGGTGTGGGTTGTATGTGCTGCGGTATAGATTGAGCTACTCGGCCAATTCCCCTGCAACGCGTATGTTCCAGGCTCAAATCAGAGCAAAAAATTAAGCACGCGGAGGATGATTGCCTTCGCCTTTGTCACTGCAGCGTGACTGCGCAGGGACCCCGTGTGCGTCGACTGCTATAGCCTCGTTTCTTTTCTCGGTGCATTCTTCAACCTTGTCACGAGAAAACGGTGGCACAATATTAGCTGTTCAAAACTAACTTAAAGTGCCTACTGCAAGTACTATTGCGAAAAACTCACTATGCCATAATTCCTGCTTCCGTGTATCAATCAAGTGTCCACTTCGCGTCTGTAAGCAACATGCCAACCTACGCAGCTTCTCGATTTGCTGATGCTTTTGCTGCTGCTGCTGATTATATATGTTTAATGAGTCGTAATGTGTCGGCCTTTCAAAATACCAGCTCGCTGCGAAACGCACGTGTTTAAACGCATGTCATGATTCGGCGTTTCATCTGAGAAGTATTGCATGCGTTAAGGTGACTACTCTCACTACGAGGTATTCACAGAGCATATTGTTGTTGTTGTTGTTAGAAATGTTGTTAGAAAGGCACAAGGGTTCGCTTTGTCATAGACTACGTGCATTTGTGGTGGACCACGTACATGGCCTGAATGAACTTTTTACTCGAGCCAAAGATTTTCGGTATTTAATTCATTTACATTTTCTGCAATTTTCCTGTGAGGGACAACGCTGATTTTTTTCCCTCTCGTATGCAACGAGATAGTCGCCGACACCAGAATTGCTTCAAATTTATCTTTTTACCGGTAAGCACGTAACGCAAAAAATTATTTGACATAGGGCAAGAAAGCTCTTTACAAAAGTCTTGCCCGTATCTGATAGCAGCTAGTTTTAATGAGCAAGCCCAGCGACTTTGGAATTCTGGTTACTCCTCTCACATACAACTTTCAGTCTCGGAAAATTTCTTCAAGAAGCTTCGATTCACGAAATAAGCTCGCTCACGTGTTCGAGCCAGTGAGGCCTCATAATCTTGCTGTATTTCCGTATCTACAAGACGTCTCGCACATCTTGAAAAAAGTAGGGGAGCCAAAAATCGTGAAGGTGTTTTTTTTTTGCCCTGAAAACAGCTGTGTATTTGTGTACCAAGGATGTTTTAAACGCAAAATTGCGTTGTTTGAAAAATTACAAAATGCCGTTTGTCATGTGTGCAGCAAATGTAATCTATCTGATACCTATACTATGCGGCGAGCAGTACAGATGACAAACTGCCAGCTGTATTGATGACCGGCAACGTGAACACGCTTGTAACGTCATGAATAGCCACGATGGTTTCTAGGCATTACATTGCAGCCCTTGTGGCTGCAAACCGCTTTTGCATCACACCGTAACTGTTGAGGAAAAAATAGAAATAAAATGAAAACAAAAACTATTCAACTAAGAGGATTTGTGGATTAGAGCTGAACGGTGTCAGCACTCCCTCTCTCAAGCTGTGTCAAAAAGATTGTCTTTCTTGAGAATCTAAAAGGCTCGAGCTTGGCAGTTCTGGTGAAAGAAGAGGGAGCTGGGGGCTGTCTAGCAAGCCAGGGCTATCACCGAGGACAACGCATGATGCTCCGCGGACGATGGTTCCTGGAGGCCTAGTCCGAGCCAGTGATTCCTCGTTGGATCTTTATTAAAGTTTATCACCTACTAAGCGCTCGTCTTCGTTCCTTCTCTAGTTTTGCGTCAAACATTTGTTGCGCTACGTCATCAGTTATGCGTTACCGACACGCTCAACTTCCTCCTCTCTTCTTTAAAGAGACCGACAACTGATTTTATTTGATCCAGTTTTTCCCAGTGTGACAGAAAGCTTACCCTTCATGGTGTTTGTAGCTGCAGTTAGTAAGTTAGAAAGATTTTATTTTGTGATCTGGTGGACGACAATCCTAGCCCCGCGAGGGAAGGGTCATCGTGATGCGGCCACACACCATCTCCGCATGACGTCCTCTACTCGGCGAGCAGCCCTCGCTATTCCAGCCTTCTGGCACCCACGCCTATCCCTGTAGGATCTCGGCTGCCCTCGAAAAGCAGCACCCGAGTGAAGCGCCAAGTGCTCGTAGCTGCAGCAGCTAATCCCGAAAGCGTGTTGTTATTCTGTAAGCAGTATTTTTTTTATCTTAAAAGCTCTGAACAAAGATGTCCCTACTTCTCCAGCTACACTAAAAATTGATAGCAATGTCGTTTGCCCATCCAGCGACTTGTGCATGGTGTTGTTCTGCTTTGGCAGGAGTTCTAACTATGCTCAACAACGTTCATTCTGAGCTTTACAGCTATTTTTGAAAAACGCAAGCCGTGACAATGGGACAACGTGACTTTATACAGCTTCCCTGTATTTGTACCGTGTTTCTTGCGCCTGCACCCCCGGTTGATGTGCCTGTGTCGTAGATGGCTTGTCTCGTTTTCGTTACTCTCTCGACACACTAGCCAAGCCAGGTCACCGAAAACGTCACTGCGCATATGCGTGGCTGTGCCGAGTATCACAGCGTATCTTAGTGACCAGAAAACTGCATGCACTGGTCCTATGAGCTCGCAGAAGAGTTTCTCAAGACGCACTGACGAACATGGGATCATTAGTCATACGAAAGCACCGCCACTTTATTGTGTAGTACTGACGCAGGCTTATATGTAATTTTTTAATAGTTTCTTTTGCTATAAAGCTAGAAGCCAACAATATTTGAATACTAGCGAGAAACTTGTTGGCCACGAACACTAGTCTACGGTCATGTGAATTGGTACTTCGAACATTTGAAGTTTCTTCCGCCAGGCGGCACCACACACCACATCAACAGGCCCTGACAGCATCCCAATCATGCTGATAAAGAAACTAGGACCAAATCAAAGCAAACATTGAGAGAGGCAGCGAGCACAGCAATAATGGATGGTGAAGCTCCCAATGGGTGGAAACGTAGCAGGATGAGCATGATCTATAAAGGAAAGGGGGACAAAGGTGATATAACAACTACCGTCCTATAACAATTGATATCGGAAGTTTACAGGCTGTTGATGCAGATAGTAAAGGAAAGACTACAGACATGGGTGGAGAATGAGGGGGGTGCTAGAAGAACTACAATATGGGTTCCGTAAACGAATGAGACTGGAGGACAACCTATTTTCATTGATGCAGTGTATTGGAATAGCAGGAAGTAACACAGGCCCCTGTGGCTGGCATTTATAGATATCAAGTGAGCTTACTATAGTGTGATTCAAGAAGACTTCTGGGGAATAATGGACACATTAGATGTGGAAGATGGAATAACTAATATTTAAAGGATATCTATAAATGTAACAAGGTAGTTATCAAATGGGAAGAACAGGTATCCGACCCTATAGAGATACAACGCGGGATTCGACAGGGATGTCCCTTGTTACTTTTGTTATTTATGCGATATCTCCAGGGATTAGAAGCCAAATTAGAGAGGAGTAGACTCGTATTCAGCCTCTCTTTTGCCAAGCAAGGAAAACACATTGAACAGTCATTACCAGCATTGATGTATGCAGATGATATAGTATAACAGCCGACAACAAGGAGGATCTGCAGAGATTGATGGACATCTGCGGTAATGAGGGAGATAGGTTAGATTTCAGATTCAGTAAGGAAAAATCAGCAGTCATGAGTTTTAATGATAACGAAGGTAGTGAGCTTAGATAACATGAGGTCATGCTAGAGATAACAGATAAATACAAATATCTGGGCGTATGGATAAGCAATGGGGCCGAGTGCCTAAGGGAAACGAAATATACGTGACGACTAAAGGTAACAGGAATGCAGCGGTGATGAAAAACAGGGCACTGTGAAATGGATAGATATCTGTGGTAATGAGGGAGATAGGTTAAATTTAAAGTTCAGCACAGAAAAATTGGCAATCAGGATTTTTAATGATAACAAAGGCAGTGAGCATAAGATACATGAAGTCACGCTAGAAATAGTGGATGAATACAAATACTTGGGCGTATGGATAAATAACGCGGCTGAGTATCTAAGGGAACACGAAAGATACGCAATGACTAAAGGCATCAGGAATGCAGCTGTAGTGAAAAATAGGGCAGGAACTACAAAAGGTATGACGTAGTGAGAGGGATTTGGAAAGGTGTCATGGTACCGGGTTCGACGTTCGGCAATGTGGTCTTGTGCATGAAATCAGAAGTTCAAGCAACATTGGAAATCAAACAACGTGGCATAAGTAGACTTACTTTGGTGGCACACGTGTATACCCCTAATCAGGGGGTACAGGGAGACATGGGGTGGACATCGTTTGAGTGCAGGCAAACTAGCAGCAAGATAGAATTTGAGGAGCTATTGAGGAAAATGGGAGAGGAGCGTTGAGCTAGGAATGCTTTCAGTTACTTGTACACGAATGTCAATACTAAGTGGAGGAAACGAACTCAAAAATTGTCAAGCAAGTATTTAGACAACAGCAGAATACCCAGCCAAAGGAAAACACCGGTTAAGAAGAAGGTGAAGGAAACGGAGAGGGACATGTGGAAGATGTGAATGCTTACGAAATCATTACTGGAGACCTACCAAACTTTTAAGCAGGAAATTGGAAGGGAAAATATCTACGACAATTTTCGGGGTAGTTCTCTGCTCTTCGAGGCCAGAACGGAAGTATTGAGGACCAATACGTATCGAGCAAAATACGAAGGCACAGACACGGTATTTAGTCCGTTTGGAGAGGAGGAGGAAAATGGCTGAACACTTGATAATGTTCTGTAAAAGGCTCCACCCAATAGTCGAAGATAATGGCGACACATTTTTCAAAGCATTGCAGTTTAGAGGCACTGAAGGCAAAATACACTTTAAACGGGTAGAAATAACCAGGAGGAGGCTAACTGATTGGTGGCGCTACATTTGAGGCGCGAGTAAAATTCAATCCTTAAACATGCAGTGATAGCACTTAACTTTATGGCTAGGTGGCGTAAACCACCGCCCAGTCTAAAGAAACAGCCGGATACATCCATTCATTCATCCATCGCGATTTTCATAGAAGAAATAAAAATATGACTCTACTTCTCACGAGAAAAACAGGGTTGGCTCGAGGCACTATGATGGACAATCTTTTCATCTCTGCAGTCATCAAATTTCCTGTTCTGGGCAGTTGTCAGTCTCTTTAGCTCTATTGCGTTTCAACAGCAACAAAAACAACACCCTCACGAATGCAGTTGGGCCTGACTGGATAGTCTACGCTCATTTGGTGGGCTGGGCTGTGTATACGTGGATGGCTGTCATGTATTTGTAGCATCTCGAAAAAGATAAAATGGTGAAGCTCTCACTAGGTCGCCAAAGACTTAAAGTAGCGAAGCTGGGTGATTCTGAATTCAGACCTATTTTATTCAAGGTTGTTGCAGAGCTGGGGGATGTTACCTTGTTACTATGTTGCTTCTCAACTAAGATAGGTTTCTATTACACTACGCACAGTCAAATACACGGATGTCTAAACTCGAGAGACATAAACTCGCGGTGCAACAGGGTGTTTGCCTCTCCCTTATATTCACGTGCACACCGTCGTTCGCGCAGCAATTTCGTCGTTTCGAGATATTCTAACAGCCTCCGTGCAGTCCTGGCACCCTAGTATTCTCTCGTTGTGCGACGTACGTAGGCAATACATCTGCAGACAAGAGCTAAATAAAACAGAGAGTGCAACCATAACATAACACCACCGTGTATAGTCTGATACAATTTCCTCATGTAGGACAAAATACCATATTAGAGTTAGTACGTGAGTACATTGTTGAGAACACTTATGCTGGAATGCGCCGCAAATTACTGATATCAACTAGGCCTTCAGAAAATTCTGTTGCTGCAAAGAGATCTCGCTATGATTTTCTCTTCTCTGCAAAAACTAACTGAAGACATGCTAGAGTGCTGCACCGGATTCAGCCGGGGGATGTCTTCACTCGACGATCAGCCGACGCTAATCCACCCAATCGGCCAGGTGGACAGCCTAACTGTGAATGCTGCGAAATGCGCGAAACTTAAGCCCGTGTAATTTTGTTGGTATTACTCACCTATACGTGGCACAAAAGACAACTCTAACTTTACCGCTGGCAGGCATCTGAGTACTAACGGTTAATTCAAGTTGCGTTTTGTTAGCGATGCGCCACGAAATAGTTTCAAAAGCTGCTATAAGAACTTTTATATACTCTGAAAATCAGTGGAATGTATACTATCTTGTAGTGTAATCACTGTTCATAAGCAACACCTCTTCATTTCCCCATCATCATCCATCATCTTTTTTTAAAGACGATAGTCTTTCTTGGCGACCTTCGAGGGAAAAATTTTGATCAGTCTGTCTGTACATTTGTCTATTTGTTCACTCTTAACGGCTTCGGGTACTTGAAACGGCTGACCCCATCCACAGCGCTGCCCTATGTTCCGCAAGGTTGAGCATTCATGCTTGTGCAATTGTCAATTAAAAAGCAATATTGCACATATCTGGGTCACCATAACAACACGTATATATTTTGTATGTAAGCCTTTTACTAGAAAAGTCATACATGAGTACTTTTAAAGACCGTAGCGCTTATCACTGTGCGCTGACCATGCAACGCTTGCACGGAAAGACGACTGTTTAAAATCCTCTGCTAAAACGAGAAGGTGGTGGCACATACCCGTCGCCTTGCGTTCTACACCTTATGACCTGTGATATGAGCGCGAAAACCCATCTCAGAGCCACACGCTTTGTTTTCTAAAAAAACTGCCAGATGGCGCTCATGTCTCAAGTGTGACGTGACTTGATGCGCTCGTTCGCCTCCGCTGCACGCTCGAGGCACTCTAACGCAGCGCCTGCACAATACCATTCACCGATTTTCTTTCGCCGAACATCAAATAAATGTCTTGTTCATTCTCTCCACACGCAAGACTATCGTCTTTCGAGGACATACGAAGCCACTTTTTTGTTTTGGATATTGTTAATCAGCTACTTTCGCGAAAATTCCAGCTTTGGAGTCAGCATTGACGCCATTGGCTGTGAGCAAAAGATTATTATCTTATCCATGGCCTCAAAATCAAAAAAGTTCAGAGCCTTAGCGAGGATTGAACCCAGGCCATTTCCGTGGCAAGCTTGTTTTATTCCACCCAGCCAAGCCTAAGCTTCAAAATGCTTGAAAATAACTTCCTCCACTTGAAAAAGCAGTGGTAATAACTTGTTCTTTACAAACACACGTGTCTTGTATGCAGGTTTAACAATGCAACATGCCAATTACAACAACTTTGTCTTGTGAAAATGTACCTTCCACTCGCGCGTCAAAGCCTGTGATTATACCAATGACTTCGCGATTTAAAGCTGGCAACGAATTACAAAAGACGCGCACGTTATTGCGCGTGTTCTCTTAGGACTACAGTGGGCGTGCACAGCAAGTTCGAAAACGTTTCACGCGCATAATTTCTCGTGGTTTGAAACGTGCTACCCATTACACGGAATGCAGCAATATTCAAAAGCTTCATTAACACAATCTACTTTCAACTTCATCGAATAAATGTAGTATGACATCATGCAACAAAAAGTGCGCCGTAAATGGTGTGTGTGTGTGTGTGTGTGTGTGTGCGTGCGTGCATGCGTGCGTGCGTGTGTGTGTGTGTTCGTGTGTGTGTGTGTGTGTATGTGTGTGTGTGTGTGTGTGTGTGTGTGTGTCTGTGTGTGTGTGTGTGTGTGTGTGTGTAGAGTCCGAGAAGGAAGAAGTGCTTCTGGAATAAACATGGGGAATGAGCCAGGCCACGTCACTTAGTCATCGTAGCGTCACACTAGTTGACAGAACGAAAACCTGGCCGCCGCTCATCAACCTCACATCATTCACGAAGCCACCAGCAATACGCCCCAAGTGAATATCAACCACAGAAGAGGTGATCTCAGGCGCATGCAGTTACCGGCATCATGACAGAACCATCGACTGACCTTCCCATTCCCAAGTAACCGGAGCAGCGGACTATGGACCTGTGCAGAGCTGGTTTGACCTGTTCGAGCTCCACGGTATCGCTTCATCATGGTCGCAACGGGCGATGGTTACAAACTTCAGCGACTACGTGACTGGTGAGGCATTTAAATTTTACCTTGCCACATATTCGATAACGACGAATCATGGCAGAAGATCAAAGAAGGGATGATCGTTCGTGGTAACGACTACAATAAGGACTTCCTTAATACCAATCATGTGGAGACAATCCCACTCAGCCACCACAGTTCACGCTCTTTCTTTAAAAGACACAACTTTCCATCAAGTTTTTCTGCTGCACGAAAATTGGCATTCTCAAAATCATCGCTCCAACATGTGACACAAGAAATGGCTAACCCTACTGCTGTCCAGCATGCTTCGTCTCGCATACATGGTCCACCACTTGGTTTCCAACCACGCAGCTCTTCTAGGGCTCCTAATGGTCGCCATTCGTGTCATAAGGACGCCTTGTTCACGGTGGACCAGATGACGCATGGGGAAAATACTGAACAACCCCATGACGACTCGAAGAGAGAAAAATCAGTCTTCACGCATTGAAGCAGCTTATTTCCTATCTCGCACACTTGGCCCACCTCCTGGTTTCCCATCACTTGGCTCTTTCGTCACTCAAAACGCTCACCTCACGTCTCACACACCCACTACGGTCGAAATAGAGCAGCGTAACTCAGAAGATATTCAGCCATGCCCGCAGCTTTTACCCAGATGCATGCGTCAGAACAGCTCACCTTGTTACTTGCACAGAAAGAAGAAAATTCAGAATTGAAATCTGACCAAACCCCGCCTGTTGTGGTGTCACCGTTAGGAGCGCAGCCACCTGAAAAAGCAAACATTGGAGGCTTGAAAGCATCAACTCTGACAGGTTGCCAGGTGCCAGAAGCCTACGTAATGAATTCTGTCGCAGGCGCCTTTCATTTTCCTCTATTGAAATGTGTCCTACCAACATTGCTGCCTGAAAAGCGTTGCAACAGCTACCAACTGGACACTACGTCAAGTTGCCAAAAAAGAATTGTCCTTTTTCCAAAACGCTGCCACCTCAATACTTTTCACAACATCAGCAAGGCCAGCAGAATGAAATTGACTAGGCTAAGCACCATGTTGTTCAATACGGACAACTACAGACGTCGGAAGAACACACGTAGCATGAAAAAAGACCTTTACAAACCAGTCAACCAAAGCGATGAAACATTCAAGATGTCTCGCTCGAGAGAAAGAAGGCATCGCATTCAAGACATTTTCCCGAAAAGAAACACCCCAAAAGTTTTCTCCAGCAGAGATTAAGACGGAGCCTACTATCAAAGCAATTGAAACAGGACAAAACGACACAAGCGGTGTAAAACCACACCCTGTTTTCTGGAAAGACAAAGGCATCACGCCGTTAGCCAACCAATACGCAAACTGGTAGTGTTCCGTGCGTACCATTCAAGACAAAAACAGGACGTCTGCGAAACTCGACCTGTGAGTGTTCCGCGGCGTTCTAGCCTTGTTCATTCCTTGCTAAAACTGCTCTATAATAACCAATTTTCACGTTAAAGCTGTGCTTTTGTTGTTCCGAACACAACAGCCAGCCTCGCTCGCCGTAGCTTGACTAGTCATCACCGAACCGCTGCCCTCTCCTATGAATTTTTGTACAATTTTATGTAACTCTCATGTGACGTGGAACTACTACATTTTCTGACATTTGTTTCTATTATGAGGGACCATTTGTTCATGCTTTCTAGTTGGTAACTCGCGCATTCTTTCGGGGGAGGGAAAATCATGTAACGTATGAAGCGATGGTTGATGGAGGCCGAGAAGGAAGAAGTGCTTATAGAATAAACATTGGGTATGAGCCAGGCCACGTCGCCCAATCATAGCGTCATATATATATATATATATATTTATTTATTTATTTATTTATTTATTTATTTATTTATATATGACGCCATGCGCATTAGCGCATTAGCTCGTGCAGACCTCTCAACCTTTTAATAACTTGTCACACACTTTTTCTGAGTAGCAAGGTTTAAGAAACTAAAGTGAGATATATGAGGACAGATAGGAGGATAAGTGGGAGGGAGTAGAATAAATTGGAGCATCGAGAGCATAAAAAAGTATAAACAAGGAAAATAAAGAAAGGAGAAATAAAAGAACGAGATAAAAATAGAAGCAAGAGATTGAAAGTAGTCGAAAACAATAATGAAAGATAAAAGAGCCACAAATACACAACGAAAGAAATGTCAAGAATAGAGAAAAAAAAATAAAAAGATTGAGGAATAAAAAAACGTGTATATAAAGAGCAAAACAAAGGAAGATAGGGAAACAGTTGAAAAGAGATGTACACAGGATACAAGGACAATAGAGAGAAAAGACGGAAATATGTGAAAAAATAAAGAGAAAATTTGCAAATCTTAGCAAAAGAGCCACTGCGCGGACTGCATAGGTTTCCATCTACAGGCGCCTTCAGTGCAAACTGGGCTCTTTTTTTTTTGGATTGTGGCCAAGTGCTGTCCACTTCACTGGACTTGTTGCAGCATTTCTAAGTAGCCGCCTCGATATAACTTACGCATTATACAGGCATTTCAGAATTTTCAGCGTCCCTCCAGGAGTCGTATACACGTGTTCAGATAACATTAAGGTGCACAGTTGAAAGTCGATCAAGTGAAGTGATTGGGACTCTCATATTGCTTCATTTATTCAGCATGTTATTCAAATTGAGTACTTTCTTGGCTCTTCTAAACCTCTAATAGTAACGTTGCGCTAACGTGATGCTACCAGGCCGTTGTTCTCGGCACCATTCTACTCCAGCACATGTGAAAAGCCGTCGAGAAGACCCCGTAATGGAGTCTCCCGTGTTGTTCGGAGGCAGAGAGAAGCCAAGCTCGGCGATGCAGGCCATAATGACGGTTGGCTGAAGCAACTGCGGGTGAACAGTATGCGCAAATTCGGAAAACAAATGAACTAGCTGTATGAGCTGGGCGATCCAAGAAAGTTTCAAAGACATCAGTACTACCATGAAATCTTAAAACCAATAATAAAAAACTCCCGAGTTCATTGCTCCATGCAAGTGGTCAGCGTGCAGGCTCGTCAAACTAAAACTGGGGCCATGAATTGGTTGCCGAGACGTTTTAATGCAATAGACATATAGCGCACGCTCGAATAAAAAATCCATCTCTGCAAATTGGGATTTAATGCACCATTTTATTACTTACTCAGGTGTTTATGGAACAACGTTAAATTTGGTTTGGCAGCCAAGCTACTTTGTTATTTTGGGTTGATAGCACCACGGAGCCCTGTCGTATTTTCTGTGAAATTAGAATTCCTTTGTTAGGCTGAGACTCGCGCAAAATTGTGTTTCGTCACATTGAGTTTTGAGTGTATTCTTTGCATACCAGAACTGTAATGGCCCGAGTAAGTGGATGTCAGTTGTGAAAAGTCTCCATGTAACGTATAAATACACATACAGACAGCCAACATGGCATAAAACACAAGTTTTAAATACTACAATCTTACGAAGCATAATTGCGATTTTTTCTAATTTAGTGTACTTTCTGATGGACATGCACAACCATGCACAATAATACCAATCGTACTTCGTAGATAACGTCCGGCTCAGTACCCAAGTTGAAGACAAAGGCTCTGGACTGTGAAGTATACAGCATGTGGTACAGTGACGACACCCACTTAGCGACCATTGCGCACATGCTCTATAACTCTGACAACTGCTTCTGTGCCTACATATAAATTATAGACACCATCCATTTGACAACCCTCAACACCACTGATGAATAATTATATCTTGCTTAGAAGATGGCGAAGAGAACGTGCGCACTGCACTGCGAAGGCAGCACAATATCCCACGCATTGTCAATTATGCCATATAAACCGGCAAACATGAACTTGCCACAGAAACTTTAAAAAAATAATAAGAGGACGCTCTTAATGAATGATTTAGCTGGTACAAGATTTTGCAAGTGTGGCGAATCATACTAGTATTTAAAACCTAAATTCATTGAAAGCTTGAGCAAATGTCATTTCGGGCATAGTCGTCTATACGCGCTCTCGACAATCCGGGCTCTAGGTGAGAATGCTAATTGGCTTAGTATTTTTTTTCTCACTGATATCTTCAGGGAAATACTGGCGGGCATACTTAACCGTGTGCCTCTTCCGGCTGAGGGTTGGACTGGGCCATCTTGTACAAAGTCGCCATAAGCAATGTTCTAGGACGTGAAAGTGTGGGCTGACAGGTACCACACAGCAAAGTGAAGGCGTCCATATTACTGGTCGAATAGTACATGCTCTATCACAACCCCTAAGATTGTAGCTATCTTTCGTCTTGCTCACCTGGCTTCTTATAGCCTTTGAAATCTAGCATACGAGTGGAACTGTTCGTTAGTATAAGGTGATATGTCAGTTATTTTGCGCCTTTTCTCAACCTACCAAAACTCTGCGCAATTTAGAGAGCATTAGCATTTTTTATGTGATGCTCACGGTAGACAAGAAACACATATATGTTGGAGGTGATATTGAATTAGTCAAGTCAGACATATCGTTCACACTCAAACTTGGCGAACCTCTCAGAAGTAAGGGGAAGAGCGAGAAAAAATGTTAGCCGAAAAGTAATTGCCATTCCATAAACATTATCGCACAAGTCAGCCTATCACAAAGCTCGAACTTTGACTCACCAGGGCGGTCTGACTTGCAAAGGTGTCGAAGTCCTTAGATGCAAGTAAGAGTACCTGCATGCAGCATCGCTTCAGCCGCGGCATCTTCCCGAGAGAGGAGGACGATGAGTGCGAGAATAAATAACTCCTTCTTTTTATGCCTCATACCTTCATCGTGCAAACAATTTGTTGTTGGCCCACACGGAAAAGAAGTGAAGCTGTAGACGCACAGGCGCTGCGAGAGGATCGTGTCTTAGGCGGAAAACGTCAGCATGCAACCACAGCTTATTGTTGATTGCAGTCGTTTTCCTTGAGATTAGGCTGCATAGGCCCTTGATGGCGCGAATATTCAGAGACAGCAGTCTTTCTAGGCGTGTAGATTTTTTTTCTTTTTGGCACGGCGTTGTACGTGTTTATGACCGGCGTTGTACTTTTGACATATTACCAGAATATTTCGCTTGTTTAAGAAAACGTTAAATATAAAAATTCAGAGCCCCTTGGCCATTCCGAAAATGAGGGCAAGTGGAGCCCCTGTGTGAATCTGACGTACACTTTTTTTTCTACCGCTCTGAGTAGTGCTCACTCTTGCATATTTTTCGTAATGGCAGGAAATTCGTGCGTCTAGGAGTGCCACGCTTCAGCTGCTACAGGCATTAAAGACGGTGATACGTTCACTACCCCGGCAACAATGCAATGCGGCAATACGAAATGATGAGTTAGCTCGACAAAAGATGACTTTCTCGTATCAGAAACGACTGATATCCGTCGAGGCCTTGATTGAAAGAGAACGGGGCACCTAACTACGCCCCAGACTGGCAAATCTACTAGGAACACAGTTCCTTACGGTCACAGACAGCCGGTATTTTTATTCGTTTATTTTGTTTGCCCACCATGTCAGAATGTGCAAGTTTCGCTAGTGAGCTCATGAACACTTCCGCTTCGTGATAGCACAATGACAGCGCCTAATATTGATGAAAGATACAGAATGTCACCAAATGTTTATGAAACGAACTAGAGTTCTTTTCTACGTTTCTGTATTTCCTTTTAAGCTTTCTATGCTCTAGCGGATATTTCATTAACCTGACACAATATTGTCACGGCGTTGTGACATTGAAGAAGTTAGTGGTGTGTGGGCTCAAGACGAGACTCTTTATTTTTACAAACTTTCGGCGGGCAACGTAGAAAGAAAAACTATACTAGCAATACACAATGTACAATGATAGCGGTGAAGGGAGCATCGGCCATCGACAATCTGATAAGCGGCCACGCGCGTCCGCTTTTATATGTGTACTGCTGTACATTCCGGAGTTATCGCTTGCGGCTACGTAAGTTTTAAAACTAGCCCTTATGTTTGCATTGTTCACGTAATTTAATGATAAGGTTCCAATATTTCGAAGATTGTCACTACTCATTCGGTCACACTTTGCGCAAGGCAGCATTTACATTTGTAATGGCGCACTAACAAAAAATACAAACATATTAGCACATGTAGCCATGCAGCAAAATCACCGTGAAATAAGTTTCTGGTCATAATGAACATTTATTGACTTGAGAATAATGTCCTACCTGTCGTAAGTCACGACATACTTGACATGGCATCAATTCTGTCGTGGCTGATTCATTAACTTCGTATGCACTCAACTCGACATGGAATGACATCACTACAAAGAACACAAGTGGGTCAAGTCATTAAAATGCTGTCATGCATGTCATGTATATCATGAAATACATTACTCAGCCGAAGTGCTTTCGCGACTGTTTCAATAATTTCATGAGTACAGATAGTGTAAGTGATGAATATTGCTTTATTATTTCATTTTTATATGGACATTACTGCTACAAAACGGCCTGCAGTTCAAATTAATTCTCTACTATGCAAAAAGAAAGCTTACGTTATGCATAAATGATATGTTCATGTGTTTACAATACAATTATAATGCAAGAACTGCAGGCTCATTCAGTAAAACATATGTCAATACGGCTTCCATATTATGCTGTTATTGCTTGAGTTCGGGACTTAGTAGAAAAAGGGAAAGAAACCTATCCTAATGAAAAGCCGCAGATGTTTGCCTACCTATTCGCCTGACATGCTATTCCAGTCGGTGGCTGCTCATTATGACATATAGACTGATAAACATACAACGCGTACAGCCAGGCTCGAAGCCCGCAAGAAAAGTCAGTATCACTTTTGTGGCGCTACCTCCCAAGTGCCGCTTTCATGCATGAACCCAGAATGTGTAGCAACTCGAAGTACAAGTCTCAATGTATTTAAGGGCGCGTTCAAAGTGTTCCTCTGATGCGGACAACTTTCGTCCACAGATGGATTTGTGGGGTTTAACGTCCTAAAATCACCATACGATTATGAGAGACGCCGTAGTGGAGGGCTCCGGAAATTTCGACCACCTGGGGTTCTTTAACGTGCACCCAAATCTGAGTACACGGGCCTACAACATTTCCGCCTACATCGGAAATGCAGCCGCCGCAGCCGGGATTTGAGCCCGCGACCTGCGGGTCAGCAGCCGAGTACCTTAGCCACTAGACCACCGCGGCGGGGCATTTTTTTTCTTGTCCACAGAGGACATGGTTGAGTTCTTCTGTGACGTTATACATCAGACATACAGTGGTGAGTCCGACGGCCCGATCTTGTTTCTAAAGTATTTGGTCTATGCGACTTTTGGTCTGATGTGGTGCAAGCATGTTTCCTCCCGTCTGTTGTGTATTCGCGGAATATCGAAGTGGCCCGAGAGCTCAATCTTTAAAAGGCCCGTATGGGCAGCGAATGTTTCTTCGAGCTATCGCGAGAGGTGATATGTGTTCCTCCGCATTTTTTCTAGAGAAAGCTATCTCGACAAAAACAATCTCGACAAAAGCTATCTCGACAAGCTTTGGCAGAGTCGTCAGCCTGGACGTTGCCTTGTGTTCTGCAGTGGGACGTTGCCTTGTGTTCCACTGCAACACAGTGCAGTGATGGTGGTAGTAGGCTTTGTTGCATAGGAAGTCGCACATTTCAAACGTAACGTGCATATTCATTTCCATTTAGAAGAAAAAGAGCAGTATAGGCTACTGAGTCATAGTACTGAAAAGTTGTCACAGCCCATTTGAGTACTTGCCTTGGAAAGGTTCTGATGCTTTTAACAGCGAATCTATCCTACCTCGGCATAATGTCAGTACCCAAGAACTTTCAATAGAATTGACAGATATGTGCCCCGCGAATTGCTCAACAGACTGGTGGCGTAGACCAGAGTAGAAGAAAGGGACAAATAGATACGAAGAAAGGAAAGAGGGACAATCTTGGCGATAAAAAATGCCACGCGAGGCAGCGACGATCCCATTGCAAGCATCTTAACCACTCCGCTATTCAGGCGTGCTGAACGAAAAGAGTATAGCCTTGCATAGTATCATTTATCAAAAGCGTAGAAAAGGAAATCGGAGGTCAGGAATGAAGGAACGGATTGGTGAGAGAGTATAGAATAGCCTATAAAAAGGAGAGGAGAGAAATAAAAAAATAAAAAAATTCAGGATGAAGAAACAGGGAGACGAAGGGAAAGACTGAAACAAGGAAAGAGAAGTAAATGGAGAGTTAAAGGCAAAAATGCGACAAGTTAGCTCAAAGTCACACAAAGCTTGGCCAGAAAATATGGCCGATCCTTAAGCTAACAAGCCACAACAATGCAAAACATGTTTAGCATATAAAAACGTAGAAAGGATCAGCTTCAAAATAGAAGCGATTGGTGTTAACTCAAAGACTCCAGGACCGACAATCTTCACTGTGACATGCTTTGCAATCTTACCAGCAATCTTTATTACAATTCTGAAGCGATCTTCAATCGGTCACGTGTAGCTTTTTTTTTCACTGCTAAACTTATATCTATGTTTGTAGACGACAATACATCTTAAATAGTCAAACGCTCTGTTCACTTCATTTGTTTTTTTACGCTTGTGTTTTTGTTTTATTCTGCATTATTAGACGTTTTCATTGGTTAATTGATTGCTTGTTCATTGCAGTTGCCGCAACTTACAACGTGATGCTGCTGACTACTTCAGCCACCCGTTTGTAGCCTTTTTTTTCAGTCATCCTGTAACTGCGCATATTTTTATTTAGTATTGATTTTACTTCCACAAACACAAAAATGGTGGAAGGGGTGAGATCGGAAGTGACTATCTGAGTTCTGTAGTGGAGCATACGCACCAACGCGTATGCGCCTTCGAAGACAACGAAGGCCCGTCTGCTGGTTGCGCGAGAGTTTGTTCCCCTTTGCCAGCTTGCCGTACGCGCTTCGTTGCGACTTCTCCCTGCTCGAATAACGTCATACCTGTGGGTGGAGGTGCTGAATCCCCAAGAACAGGGAATCTCCGCTCTCGCAAGTTGCCTGAATACTACCGCGAAACATGACGGACGCAGTCGCCAACCATCCCGTCCCAGCCCAGCCAGCACCATTCGGCTGCCCCGTCTAACCTGCCCCGGCGCTACTCTCCTGTCGGAGGTCATCCAAGCTATCCTCGCTGAATGCAACATTATCCACCGGAAATCTACCGCATACCATCCACAGACAAATGGTCTTACTGAGCGGTTCAACCGCACACTTGGCGAAATGCTGAGGATGTACACCTCCTCCGACCACACTAACTGGGACGCTGCATTGCCCTTTGTTACCTTCGCTTATAACACCGCGACTCAAGCGACTACCGGTTTTCCCCGTTCTTTCTATTGTACGGCCGCGAACCTTCCCACCCACTCGACACTATACTCCCGTATCGCCCTGATGCATCTGAGTGCTCCCCGCTTTCGGAAGTTGCCAGATACGCTGAAGACTGCCGTCAGTTGGCTCGGTCTCAGACAAGTGAGGCTCAAGGTCTACAAAAGACTCGACACGAGGACGCTCACCACATAGCTCCTACATTTTGTGCTGGCTCCCTTGTGTGGCTTTGGGTGCCCCCGCACGTTCCTGGCATGTCTTCTAAACTTCTGGCCCGGTACCATGGTCCGTACCGTGTCATTGACGCGACCTCCCCGGTGAATTACATCATCGAGCCATTAACACAATCACCAAATTTGCGCCGACGAGGACGCGAGACCGTACACGTCGACCGTCTTAGGCCTACTACGACCCCCTCATTGTGCCTACTCCCTGAGTCGCCAGGATGGCTACCCTT